TGTGCGCGCAGGAACGGCCTCGCCGGCGGGACGGCCAGGCCATAACCCTCGTTTTTCCCCCCCGCCTTAACCGAGGAGGTTGAGGAGCAGCAGAAGAGCAGCGTGTGCCGTGTTTGCAGTGCGGAAGCAACACCGAGACGCTTCGGCACAGACGGATGAGAGCGGATAGTGCCGTGCCATGCTGTAGGGCCGTACTGAGATCAGTGCTAGCTGGGCCACAGAAACCAGTACGCAGGTATGTTCATCGGCAGAGAGGTATGGCCAGATTAAAATAAGATGCGGATAAAATCCTCCACATTTTTAAGGCAGCAACAGGATGAGAAAGAAATCCCACATTCTGTGGTCACAAAAATATGCAGCAATTATAAAAAGGCCATATAGAACCAAATCTGCTGCTATGCACATTTAAATACATCTTGTTTGTATTGTACAGGATGATACTTTTGACATCTCCTGCTGCTATGGGTTTGTTATCTGCTGGCTGAAAGCCTCTATCAGGTACTCTTCATACAACCAGTGTAGCAGCAAAGGGTCTGTTCTTGCTAGAACAGAAACTCCAGTTTTCATCTATGCTATGTTTTGTAAAAATACTTCATATGTATACAACAGTTTAGAGCCCCTGTTGGCATCGGTGTTTAGTCCAGTGCCTTTCACACAATGATGAATGCACTTCTGTTTTTATGTGCCAGCTGAGTTGTTCAGCACTGAAGATACGAAGATACCTGCTCTTCTTAGTTTAAATTTCAGAAATTGGTGCTTTGCAAAATTCACTATTAGTTTATATAAACTGATGAATGTAATGGTATTCTTCACAGCTTTAAGATTATGTATATTCACTAGCAATATTTATGTATACACATAGTAAACTGGTAAAACTTTTGACTCTGGATGTATGGAAAAGCAACTTAAATGAATATTAAGTGTAATAAGTTGGAAAAGACAACAGGATGGTTGGAGGATTGAGAAGGTAAGACAGTTAAATTTATGCTGTATCTTACTGGTTATAGCCTCCAAAATTATAATAGTGCAATGGCAACTCACGTTCCCCTCCTGACATGAGGGAAAGCAGTACTGCATTTGCACATAAGATTTATCATAGAATGGTTTGGGTTGGAAGGGATGTTAAAGACCATCTAGTTCCAACCCCTCTGCCATTGGCAGGGACACCCTGCACCAGACCAGGTTGCCCAAAGCCCCATCCAACCTGGCCTTGAACACTTCCAGGGATGGGGCATCCACAACCTCTCTGGGCACCCTGGTCCAGTGCCTTACCACCCTCACAGTAAAGAATTTTTCTTCCTTATTTCTAATCTAAATCTACCCTCTTTTAGTTTAAACCCATTACCCCTTGTCCTATCACTCCATGCCCTTGTAAACAGTCCCTCCCCAGCTTTCCTGTAGGCCCCTTCAGGTACTGGAAAGCCACGATAAGGTCTCCCTGGAGCCTTCTCTTCTCCAGGCTGAACAATCCCAAGTCTCTCAGCCTGTCCTCATAGGAGAGGTGCTCCAGCCCTCTGATCAGCTTCGTGGCCCTCCTCTGGACTCACTCCAACAGGTCTGTGTCTGTCTTGTACTGGGGCCCCCAGAGCCGAATGCAGTACTCCAGCTGGGGTCTCATGAGAGCAGAGGGGCAGAATCACCTCCCTTGACCTACTGGCCATGCTGGTTTTGATGCAGCCCAGGATGCAGTTGGCTTTCTGGGCTGCAAGCGCACATTGCCAGGTCATCTTGAGCTTGCACACCATTGGTGGCTTTCACCTAACTCATTTGTACTTAAAACTTTCTAAGAGGTCACTAAGGTAGGGAATGAAAAGCCCTGCTTAGCTCAGTACAGGTCTTCCTACTCAATAAAGGCACACAACTGCTTGATGAGGATTAGTCAGACCTTTCAGTTGTTTTGTTAACAATTGTGTGTATATTAATGGCACTGCTTTTTCCGCTTTCCTAGGCAGCATCAAGAGATAATGGGATTTGTCACACCAACGCTAAACTGAGACTAAGCTTCAACCCTTTATATGGAGCTGTTTGTTGAAAGAGGAAGCTGCGGTGCTAAAAGCAGTCAGTGCTTGACTGAATGAGGCCATGCCACTCACAGAGGTGAATGATCTCTTACTTCAAAGACTTTATGAAAGGCAAACCTTGTTAAATCCTTTCAAGTTTCTTCTTTGCAATGCAACAATAAACAGTGACTTTTCTTAGAGCTATTCTTTGAGTACCTGGGCAGAGGTAAAGCTAAGGCTGCTACTGAAGCACGTACAAGATGTCTTGCTCTCCCCTCAGATTAAGATTTGTAGTTTGATTGACTATGAAGACCACAGGTCAGCTGTAAAAAAAAAAAAAAAAAAAAGCAAAACCTTCTGTTGTTTTTTCTTCTTCCTGGTAGAAGTACCATTTTAGATAGGTGGTGAACTAAAACTTAATGTAGCTGTTTCATACAGAACAATTTTCACAGCTAGAAATAGGTAGCCTCTGAAAACGTGAAGTTGTCAATAGAAAGGAATGCAACAGCGTAGGAAGCCAGTAATTCATAACTGTAAGCAGTCTTTTTTTTTTTTTTACTGTTTTAGTGATAAAGGCAAACAGTGAACTGATTTAAATTAAATTAAGCAATACAGCTGCTGGCATTGAGTGCTTGTACCTATCTTCAACTCTACTGCTGAAGTAGCATGCTTCAGGGTATTAAAACTTGTGTACTTTATTTAAATAAGTACACAATAGATTGAATATTTTGCTTTATATTGTGTGCATCTCCAGATGTATTAAGATAAAGAGGTAGCAACCTGTCCCAGTTTTACTCTACAGTGCTTGACAGTTGCCTGCATGATCCAATAGGATGGTGAGACTATCAAGTTTCCCTTACTTGGATAAGTATCAGAACTTTAACTTGACTAAAACAGGATTAATTTTTTTCCCTCATTTTAGAAGAGCACTCGTATCCAGCATATGCACAAGATAGTATCAAGAAGCACACTGCTTAAATTGACAATGATTTATTGTGTTTAGGAACATTCAGTAAATACCAAGCTTTCAGTTTGGCAATCGTTCCCCACCAAAAAGCAGTTGGTTAGGGTTTTTTTTCTAGCAGAATCTCCATTGCCAGCAATGGATGTATCAGAACAAGAAGTTAATAAATAAAACACACAGACAGCAGTTTTCTAAACATACCTCCTCTTTTAAAGGCATGATACAGATTTACTAAACAAATCTCAAGCCAGTTCTTCACAGAAGAAAGTTTTGCTACAAGCCATCTCTGAACATTGTTTTCTTCACCAATGCTGGTAGTTTATTTCATGGAGTACAGCATTTTTGAACAGTACTGGTGAATCATTTAAAAACAAGGTTCCCCCCTCCACCCTTATGCTGAGACATGTGACTAGTACTGAATGTACTGTATGAATTTAAGAGTGGTGTACCTCTTGCTGAGCATTTAATGGCAGTCATGAATAAACATACAAAAGAGGAAAAGGCAGTATCATACTCTTAGTAGAGGTCCAGGGGCTTTTTCTTTAGCTTGCTTTCAAACCACTGTTCAAATGTTAAAGGTGTCAAATTTAAATTTAACAGGTGGGTTTTTCACTTTCCATGAAGAATTGTGTGAAAAAGCACAACTGAATAAACTTCCTGCCCATGATGAGAATCACTTTCAAGTACTTAAATTTGAATATCCCCCTCAATTCCATTCATTTCTTATTAAAAATGTGTTTTATAAAAGCATGAAGACTACAGAAAAATTAACATAGAGTTAATTTTGTATATTTTTTCCACAGCTGTATTTTACATATCACCAAACTTCTCCTTTAGCAAAGGAACAAAAAAATAAATTCTCTCCCAACTATTTACACACAGGAGCTACCCTGCTGTAGAACCAGGTACTTTACTCTACAGTCCCCCTAACCCAAGGTGTAATCTTAGGTGTATCCCTTTGTGATTTAGCTTCTTGGAAGTTTTCAGCAAACCTCTCTCTTGCTTTATCCCAGTTCTTTTTATTCTTGCTTTGGATGATCTGAACGTCTTCAACTGAAGCTGGTCTACTGGTACCCAAACCTGCGTGTGTCTTATGTAACTGAAGGTGGATCTGTCAAATACATTAAATATTGTAAATGCAAGTTAGATATTCTAAATACTTTAAATCATATTTTATAATACTAATTCCACTCACACCCCTGCTTCTCTAAGGCTGTAGTACACCTAGATCATACACGGACATCTGAAGTACAGTTAAAATGTGTAAAATCACCACCTCCAGAACTATGATCGAGAGTGCTAAATGACGACACCTGCCACTAATATTACTGTGAAGTACTCCTCACAGAATGAATACCATATGATCCCTGTGCTGGGTAGTTTGACAACAAAAGGTATGGTGTGGCTCTGAGCAGCACTACTGCCAAAAGATGACACATCTCTGGTGACAAAAATGGTGCTAACATGGCTGCCACAGAGCCCCAGAACTTGGTGGCTACAGTGACTTCAGCCAGCTTTTCCTCTCTTGTGGCCTGTTGTCTAGCTTCATTTTTGTGCTACATCAGCCTCAGAGAAGGATTCCACCATAAGCCCATCTTTAATTAAGATCACTTAAAGTTATCTCAGTACTCCTCCAGACTTCATATTCAAATATGAGATTATTAATTCAGTGGCTAGAAGCTCTCTGCCCTTAGTTGCTTAGTTTACTAACACAGACATTACTGGCATTTTCCACTGAAGGGCCAAGTCACTGAAAAATTTCAAAACATCATTAATCAAGTTAAAAAATTTGAGATTAGTCTTACTGAGGTTATTCCTCCCTAACCAGGATTTTGAAATGTTTCAATTGAATAGTAGCTTACAATTAGACATTTTTCACTGCAAATACATTTCCATTCCTTTTTGCTCCAAGTAAAAACCAGACACACCTACCGGATCCTTCATACCACCACCGTCCTTGCCCAGGCCTTCCCCTTTCTTCCATCCCATCTTCTCCAACATTTTATGTCCTTTGTTGCTGTTGCTGATTTCACTTTGAAGAAAGTTTAAGATAACTGATGAGAGTTAATACAAAGAGTATGCTCTCCACTCAAATACTGAAGGACAGAAATGTGCACACATGCTGCTCTACAAACTGGAACTACCAGGCTGTTCCTGCTTCCATCAAGAGCTATCCAGAAGACTCTAGGGTTACCAGAGCTATTGCAAGCCTCTGGTCAATAGCAGCGTTCTTAAAACTCCTTCTGAACTACTTGCTTGCTTTAGGAGTTAAAAGATGCAGCATGGGTGAGTGGGAATTGACTGCACTTGGGAAGAGACAGTATCGCTACCTCACCAGCAAATTATCCTAATGCACACATTTAATTGTCTCTCACTTCCTTTTACTAACTTATAAGCACCTACAAGTTCATGTTTCTTAAAAAAAATAAACCCAAAAAGCAACTATAAAAGCAAAGGAATAACTAAAGGAGGAAGATTAAACTAAGTGTCATTTAAGAGGTATGTAAATGTATGTCTTATGATAGGCTGGATATTGACAAACTGCAGGTGAGAAATTCACATGTAGTATTACTGGGACTGGATAGGAAAAACAAATTGAGACACATGAAAAGTAGATGCTATTGAAGGTGTCAGTAGTACAGCTGGAGAGTTCCTTGATGATTTTTAGTTGGTAAGAAAGTGATTGAAGCATCCTTACTGCCAAGTTGAATTCTGTGTGGAAGGTGAGGAGTAATGAAAAGAGCCTATGAACAGGGAAGTAAGAATAGATTACTATGTTCTAGCTCTCCTAACACATTATATACAGGTAATTCGTAATCTAACAAACTGTATCCTAGTAACTAATTGATACTTTATAATAATTTTTTAAGATTAACTAGAGAAGGACACAGAGGATTTCTGCCCCTCCCCCCAAAAAACCCCAAACCACTTACATATGAACAGAAGCTGGACTATCATCTCTCTGGAAGGTTCCTTCACTTCCAATGGTCTCTCTGCGTTTTCCTGCTCTATCTTTGTACTTTGGATTCTTCACTGCTTTGTTGTCTTCGTATTCTGTGTTCTTAGATTAAATTCCACCAAGGCAAAGAAAGCAGGCTTTAAATTCTTTATTTTTGGTAACTTCACTGCTTCCCTCAAGAAGTAAGGCAGCCTCAGCCTGTTTCATTAATTCTAAATCTTGTAACAGAAAACTATAGTTCTCATTGAGTAGTTTCTTAACCTACAGCCATACCTTGTAAGGTACGCTATTACCATCATCACATAATAATGTAATATTGCCAAATGCATTAATTTCACAGAGGCTGTAAAGAAATTAACAGATTCTCTTGAATCTTCTCCTAGTATGAAGAATCAATCTCTCCATATTAGCAGAAAACCATATGGACATGCCACTGGCTTTTTGTTTAAACATTTAGCCTGTTGCTCAGCAACTATTTTTTCAGAGTAGAGACAGAACTAAGCAAGCGTATAGATTCCGTATCGCTATTATTTTGGTGGCTAGAATTTGAGAGAAACTAACACCATTCTGTTTTCTACACCAAGACTTACTACAAGTCCAAGATGTAACCCCATAGTTAAAATAATCTCTAGAACAGTGCAGTTTAGTGCAAATTTTATTTGCAGAAGTAAAAATAGAAATGTCTTAAGAAATCTTAACCTCAAAAGGATGAGTCGTCTTGTATGCATTCGAATGGATCTTCTTTTCCTAAACTTTTAATAGCACCTTCATGCCCTGTTACCATCATCTCTCTGTAGAGGTTTGTAAACAATTATTAAGTGTACAAAAGACAAGCTTGAGTTAAACTACCAGGCTCAAGTTTGAGTGCATTTGAAAACTTCCCTTATTCACTGAAGTCTATGGCTTAAAATAAGAATCAAAGTAGATGTTGACTTCAAACTGTAAACTCACCTGTAAACCATATTTTACCCGTATTTGTTTTAATGCTTTTCTTCTTACTAACTCTCTCTCTTCTTTGCTAAGTGCTGGGCAAACTAAAAGGAAGAACACAGGATTGACTTTGATTAATAATGTAACAATGTTTTGAAACATAAGACAACTCAGAAATTTTGTTCTAACATTATTACACAGACACACATACCAAGAAGAAAATACATCATCATGAATTGTAGAACTATTCCTAGCTGACAACAAAATTGTAAGAAAACTGAAGTAATTATGTTTATAAAGTAAAGAACTGTAATAAGCAACATATCCCACGATAACATGACAAACCAGAAGATTCCTTTTTCCTGTCCAGGCGAAGATGTGCTCTGACTTGTCCTGGTTCACATCCATCACAAGTGTCGCTGCCAGGATGTATATGAAAAGAAAGCACAGTTTCACCAATCTTCACTTCATCTCCGTGCTCCAAGATGTAGGGATCACATTTTATTTTAGGCTACAGTAAAAGAAAGTTTTGGCAGACATGTTAATTAGTTACTAATGAAAAGCACAAACTTTATTTCATTAATACTGCTTATAATTTGGTAATTCAGTTTGGTCTCAGAAATGCAGGCAAGTACTTAACTACAGTGGGTATTTCACTGTAGCAACTGCAACCGCAGTGGATTTTTCCTAATATAAACTAAAAAAGAAGTATTGTAGGTGGCCCTAAAACCACAAGGAAACTAAGGAAGATACTAATGTATCAAAGAAACCAGATAATGACATTGTTAGTTATTTGCCATAACATATTTAAAATGACCACATGACTACAGTTTTCTGCACATACACAGCATAACAACAGGTACTCACCTGGAGAATCTGATTTCCGTTAACAACTGTTCCATTCTGACTGCCTTGATCCACAAGAACATAGTTTTGCAAATCGTGGTCAAAATATACTTCTGCATGGAACTGATAAATATAAGCCTAAGTGAAATGTTCTTATTAAGCAAATACTTCACAATTCAGTTGCTATTTTAAAGTAAGATTTCAGAACATATTTTGAGGCCTTTTAACTGAGCGGCTCTGGTACTCTAAGTTAATACAGTATCCCACACCTTATGATTTCATCCATGGGAAAGGTACATGAAGGGACTACAACGGCATGAGCTAAAGTATACTATTAATAATATAACTATTTTGATCATAAACTGATTCAATATTGGAAAAGTACATGTTTCCAGTGTGGCAAGTATGCTTTACTTGAAGGACTGAAGATTCAGTAATACAGCATTTTTAACTGTTCTTACAGATAAAAGGCTTTTTGCTTGTATGTTACAGCACTCTCCATTTTTCTCTTTCAATTAAAAAAAAATCTGATCTCTTTCTACACCTTCAGGTTACTTGGTCTTTCATATCTGAAATCGCTCCCTAAATGCCATGCTTTTGTAAATTTCACATAATTCACCTTCATCTGCATTTTAATGCCCAGGACACAATGACTAGCCATTGTTGTTCCTTTTATATACATTGTGATATTGATACTAACAATCTATAAATTTGTTTTGTTGTTGCAATTCTATATAGGTATTGCTTCCAAGCCCACGCAGAACAGAAAACAGCTCCTGGCCAGACTCAAAGATGGGCACTACCTCCAAAAATGGCCACCGAGCAACCCAAAATATGGCCTACTAAGACTCCCAGTAAAAACCTGAAGTGTAAAAAAGGGAGTGTTGCAAATCTGACAAGGAAAGACCCTTTTGCTACAGTGGAGAAAAAACCCAGGAGTCAATCGGGCAAGAAAGTGTTCATTTAAAACCAAGTCTTTTCTTACCTTTCAGCAATAGGAGTCACTACATTCAGTAAAAAAAAATTTATATAATATTTTGTAGACTGGCTAGCCTTTACAAGAGGAATACTCCCATAATGGTAGAAAGATTGACTAGCTCATTCAACAGAATTTCTACCTCTGTTTTATTGAATAGGATGAACCCAAACTTTTGAAGATTTTAAATCTGTAGTGCTGTCTTTTTTAAATCTCACTTCACACTCAAGAAAAGCAAATGCCAAAGTGGTCCGCAGCTCTCAACTATGAATAGTGAGAAAAAACCCCTGCGAAGTTAACTTTTTGTTTCTACAGATGTGTTGTTTATCTTCCTGCCTTTGACTCCTTATCTGCAAAGTGAAATAACTTCTCTTATAAACAGGTACCCATGAAGTACTAAAATGGTAACAGTACAGAAAAATAAAAGCCTTTTGGCTACTTTATGCACCCAATTTCAAATACAGGCCTGAAAAAGTCATTAATAGCATGGAAAGATTTGCTCTGAAAATAGTTCAGTATTAAATACAGTACATAGCTGATTAATCAGAACTATCATCTGGAACACACATAGTAAAGCATATTCCAGATACTTGCAGATGTTTTTATCAATTTCCTTTTTGGATGACATGTCTTTGAAAATCTACATTTTCTTTTATTAAGAGTGCGGTATTTATGGTCTGTGTTAAACCAGTTAGCAAAACAAAGCACATAATTTATCTTTATTTTTTCTTAACCAGAAAAGTTTTTTTCCATCATAATCTGTCACTGAAACAAATTGTTACATTTTCAGACTCCCTGTACATCACATATTTATACAGTTGCCTTGAAGAAAAATAAAACCTGTTGCTCTGAGCTCAACTGCAAGGATTGGATTACTTTATGACAAAATTTAACTAGCTGACATCAGTATATTATATAGCATTAATACTTAACAGAGTAATAAGTTTTCTTCAATAACCAAGAAATTCAAGATTCAAAGTACAGGTTTTTTTGCTGTGCATTACACTGATAAGTAAAACTGCAATTTAAAAAATATTTAGCTTTTCTAAGCTTTGAAATCGCACTGCTGTTTGCATTAAATTCCCATTAAGTAAAATTAAGTATGTTTTCCTTTCTCTAACTTCATACGTGGCTAAACCCACATCTCATTCTAAAAGTTCTTTACAAAAATTAATGTTAGATTTTGCAAAATTTAAAGCCATAGAATCCAAAGCTTCATTAACACGCTGATCTACCTTTCAACAGACAGAGACAAGAGTTACCTTACTGACTCCAACTTCAGGAATCTGAAGTGTGTGTCCAACATCTTTTTCTCTGGAAAGGCAAGTTGATACATAAATCACAACAAAGTAGGAAGAGATCTATTAAGTGGCTTACAAAATATGTATTTCAGTAGAACCTTAATACCACATTGGTCTTCTCAGCTATTAGGGAGCTTTACAGATGTAAAACACTGTGTTGCAATATACACGATGTAAGACTTGCTTCACCTTCCTTCTTCCATCTATAAACTATACACAGTAGGCAATGAATATGATAAAGCTATACCTTTAAGTTTTTATCCATAAACCTGACATTTCTATCTGAACTTTTATACTTGTACAAGACCTGTAAATACTAGTCTGAACTCTGCATCCTTCAAGCTCTTCAGCATATCTTGGTGTAAGTTTTCAGTGCTGAAGTTGAAATCTTGGTAGCATTAGACAGGTAATGCAAGCAATAAAAGAGTAATCTTGCACATTGCAAGCAGAATTGTCATTTGTTAATCTTCACATAAAATGTAACTAGAAAACTCCAGCTATAAATCAAAACACATCTTATCAGCATTAGATAAAAACACCTAAAAAGGCCGAGGTTTTCAGTAAGCACGGATGAAAGCATTAATTCATTATTAAATTCATCATCCACAATGAACGAACTAGATTTTTTTTTTTTAATACTAGAACTGGAAGAATGCATATAAGCTAGCACAAAACCCAACTTATTATTTAAAAGATAAGCCAATGCTACTAGAATTTGAATGTCTGAGGAAGTCCAGGATATGCTTCCTTGTGATCCTGAATTTCGGAAGGGTGTCTTCCATTTCTAAAGAAGTTACCTTAGTGGCTCAGAAAAAAAGTTTACTTACTTTCTAGAAAACAACAGTTTTCAAAGAATAACTTGCAGCTATGCTGCCATTAGGATTTAGACACAAGATCAAGTTCTCACTAACAAATTTTCATGACTGCTGAGCTACATTAACTGCATATGCTGTTTTCACAGCAAGCATGACAATATGTGACATGACTTAAATTTCTTACTGTGAGCTAACCTAACTCAGAGTACATCACAGCTGCTGCACACTAGGACAACAAGCATGAAGAGTAGGGACAAGCAATCCTGAGTGGCTTCCACAGCTTTCAAAGTAAAGTACAGTTTCAGATATATGTAAGAAATTTTGTTCAGTTTTACCTTCCAATTGTAGCAGGTTTCACAGCTGTGATAATATAAAGTGATCCAGTCTGTAAAACTGGTGATCTTATTACAATTACTCTGATACAGGGAGGCCAGATCTTTTCTTCATCTATAATTATAAAAAAAATAAATACTGTTACTACCAATAAATTACAGTTTTACCCCTATAGTCCATAGCTTTCAAACAGCTGATACATATTCAGCCATTATCTGGCTGAATCCTATGAAACTTTCAAAGAATAACTGTATAAGCACATCTGAGAGAAAACTTTGATGAGATTACTGTTTCAAAGGCTTTCTGACTACACAACAAAGTGTTAAAAATGTTTTCCTAATTTTGGTTATTTACATGTGCACAACTGTTTAGTTACAGTAGTAAAGTATAAATGCATCCACAAAATTACTAGCATATTAGAAATTTATGAACAATTAGTCATAACAGACTAAAATTTTGAGAAAAGGCAGCACCTTTTTGTATACATCACAATGTATATAGAACTTTAAATTTGACAATTTCTGTCAAAAGTATTTTTATTTATTTTTACTCTTATTAGCACTATGCACCAATACAGATAAGAAAAAATAATATAGGCGCCTACAGATGCATATGCTTTTTTGCCTCAGTATCTTTTAAGTCATTATATTCTAACAGCTGTATGAATTCTGTTCTTGGATTTACATTTGCAGAAACAGTTTCCAGTGATCGCAGTTAAGAATAGACATGGTAAGATGGGAAGACACTAGCTCAAAAGGTACTAGGAGGAGAGAAACTGTCTCCAGTTTTTATTACTACTCTACCATTACTGCAGAATTGATTATTAGAAAATAAGAGAAGGAAATTTAATCTGAAAGCCTGATGGTAGCAAGCACATTCTGAATGGCATTAATCACTCCATCTGAGTATTTAAGTAATGAAAACAGAAGAAACAAACCATTTAACTGTGAGCAGGGTACAGGCAGTACAGACTTCTATAGGTTGTATTTCATTCTGTGATTTGGAATATTCCTTGCATATACAGTTCCAACTGGTTACATTAAACTTTTCACAGATTACTTTTTTTGTTTTTACAAGAGACCATTCAATTCTTGAGAAGGTCTTACAGACCTAGGAGAATACTTTTTGGTACAGAACAGCACACAGGTTTCCTCTCTATACCTATTTCTTACATGTTGCCACTGGAATAAACACAAAATAGAATTTAAAATAGTACCAAGAACTCCACATTAATCCTGGAGAAAGCTGGAGAGGAATTGTTTACAAGGGCATGTAGCGATAGGACAACAGGTAATGGCCTTAAGCTGAAGGAGAGTAGATTTACATGAGCTATTAGGAAGAAATTCCTGCCTGTGAGGGTGGTGAGGCACTGGAACAGGTTGCCCAGAGAAGCTGTGAATGCCCCATCCCTGGAAGTGTTCAAGGCCAGGTTGGATGAGGCATTGGGCAACCTGGGCAGGGGGGGTTGGAACTGGATGGTCTTTAAGGTCCCTTCCAACCCAAACCATTCTATGATTCCATCCTTTTCACCATGGTGGATTCATCTTATATTGAATTACATGATTGTATATGAACAGTATCAGAAATATTACGTATCAACTGAAGAGTGTTAATACACAGAATTGCTGTGAAGTTTGTACTGGAATCACTATTTGAGCAATGGACTTTCTTTTCTCCTGTCACGAGCCTAATCTAAACAAATCTTACTCTACACTGAGGTTTCTACACAAGCACAGGAAGTTATACCCCTAAGCAGCTTTTACCAAAACACCGCTACTTATTTCTGGCTAATGTGCAAGTAAAGAGTTACCATACTGGTAACAGAGCACTTTTTAATTCAAAGTATCTCAAGTCACATGTTTGTTTTTTTAAAAATTTTTAATTATCCAAGCTGTTTTCTTGTAGTTTGTTCTTAATGAGCTCCTGGAAAAATACAGTAAAACACGTAAAAGCCACAATAATTCACCTTCATCTTCTGAATCTTCTGAATCAGCAGTTTCTTCACTTGTTACTTCATCCTCACTGCTGTAGGCTTCACACTCAGAATCTGTAATTTCACCTTCTTCTGGCTCACTCTCTGTGTCTGCTGTTCTACTGTCATCTGTATATGCTGCAGTATCTGGTGTACTTTTGCGTGAATATGAATTTATACTGTCTGTAGAAATGGATTCTTTGGCTGTTAAACTGTTTCGTGGTTTTGTGTCCATTTTAGTCTTCTTCCTTACATTTGGAAACTCTTCTTCTTCATTAGAACTCACTTGCTCAGTGGTGGAAAAGCAATTCAGACTGTTAGACGATTTCTGCTCTTCCGTGTCCAAATCCTGGAGGGGAGTTATAGAACGTTACATTCTTTACAGATTGAGTTAGTCTGCTATCAGCCTGGAAGTAAATTCTTCACTAGGAAGAATTATTTTTACAACTGTCAAGAAATGGTTAAATTTCCAGAAAGTTTAGCACATACAGTCAACAGAACATTTCAGTAGAAATATTTTCCCCTCCTATTAGACATGACTGAGGCCATCTTCCATTTGGGAAAGTGTGACTGCACTCCTCTTCTAAACTTCACTTATTCCTTCCTCTTTTCTCACACAAAACTTAAGTGAGAACCTTGTCCTCACTTTCAAACTTGTACAACTGCATCTTGAATATTTTCCAGTTTTGCTTTTGTGACACTACTTCTGTCCCTCTCATTCACTTCTGTCCCTCTCTTACTCACTTCTGTCCCTCTCTTACTTCTTGCAACTGTTTAAAAGTTCTTTAATTGATCTTCATCATATCTTCCTCCTGTTTTTGTCTTCTCATTTTTTTCCACAATGGTCCAGAATATCTGGAATGCCCACCCATGCTTGCCTAATGACCTGCTCTTCCTCCTTTCAAAATTGGAACAAAGTCTTTCATCAAGATATTGTAGAGAACTTAAGTTTAATTTATGCCATGTGGAACAGTTCTACTGAGAATCCATTTTCTACTGCCTCAAATTTCTCCATTGAATACCAGACAGATTAGATCTTTGCAGGTTCTTCCATTGCCACTTGATTTCATCAGC